CCATGCCTGTGCTAACACCTCCAGACAAAATGCATTGTGGGAATTCCTGATGACAGTATACGCCCAATGTGAGTCTCTTCATTTCTCTCCAATGTTTTTCAAACGACCGTAGATTGGGCCACAGTGAGGTTGTGGCCCACGAGACGCTATATGAATAGGTCTGCCCTATTTTTGAGACCCATATCCTGTGGCTATAAAGAAAGTGGGCCAGGCTGACTGGAGAGTTCTGGGATTCACGACAGACTAATTGTTCAGTTGTTAACACGAGCAGGAAGTCGTTAACGGGAAAAAGCTGCTGTAAATGACTTCAATTTGACAACAGACTCAGTCCGGTTCATATTTTCAGTCCAGTCGATATTTGGTTCCACTCTGTGACCTCCTAACGTGTCCCACTTTGTCCCAGTCACATCCAATCTTTGTCCCATATTTTTATTGAACTGGACGTCCAACCTACTGTCCATTCAGAAGTGGAGTGGACAGAACATGAAGGGACATCAGCGGAGACAGACAGGAAGTTCACTGCTTCATTTTGTTTTTCTCACTGCGGCGACAGACGTTTGGTGTCAAAGAAATCTTTTTATTTAACGAATTAACGTTTTATTTCGAAAATCCCTGAATCGTCATTTCTTTTTGCCCTGGACTTTCATGGAAGTTCTGCACTACAGCACCAGACTAGAACCAGGAAAGCTTTGTTGCCATGGCAATATTGGACTAGCATGAGTCAGGCCTTTCCTTCCACTAATGCATCGCCTCTAGAAGTGAGGATGAAACACGCACTTAATAATTTATTAACCCCCACCCCCACCACCACCACAGCCACCACAGCTAGCAATTACTGTCCATGTGACTTAAACCCACTCCCTGGTTCTGGTGTCTGCAGCTCAGGACACTCAGGAGAAGGAGACGCTGATCACCATCATGAAGACACTGATCGACTTCGTCAAGATGATGGTGAAGTACGGCACCATCACGCCCGAGGAGGGGGTGTCCTACTTGGGTAAGTCTGACGCTACTCAAGAAAATAAACAGCTAACATAAGTAATGGTTAAAATGTAGCTCAATGTTTAGCAAAATATTAGCCAAAAATACAGCTAAATGTTAGCCAACGGAGCGAAGAGTTTCTAAATAGTTCAATTTCAAAATATTGGTTAAAAATAACAATTTTAAAGGGAGATTTTTCCTACACCAGTGGTTTGCAAACTGTGGCTCCTGGGCCACATGTGGCACTTTCGATTTTACTTCTGGAGTATTCATAAATTAATGATGCTGCCTGTTGTATTTCATATGATCAAACACTTTCGATTTTACTTCTGGAGTATTCCTAAATTAATTATGCTGCCTGTTGTGTTTCATATGATCAAAGCATGATAGGATTCACTAAACCAGTGGTTCCCAAAGTGCGGGGTGGACCCCATTAGGGAGCACAGATTTAGTGCATGGGGACACCAGGTCAAATTAATATTTAAAATAAATAAATACATATTTGCTACAGGTGGATAAAGTACATGGTTACAATTATTTTTTTAAACAGTATAAAAAATAAAGAAATATTGTCAGTGAGTCAACAATATGCAAAACATGTACAGACTGTATTTTCCACCTGCCTGTACTGTACGATACGTGTCCTTTTACTGCATATGTCCGTGACACGTGTGCAGTAGAGTGTGAAGCCGCTCAGACAGATAAGTGTGTGTGTGTGTGTGTGTGTGTGTGTGTGTGTTGAGGGGAGGCGGGGGGGCGACCTGAATAACAACCAGGCTTGTTTTTATGGCCAATCATTACATGAGTAATGAGTGGAAAGGTCACATATCTGTGACGGGACGGCTGTCTTATCATCACCTCTGGCTCTGCAGGACATTTAGTGTCAGTAAATAAAGACAACCAGAGGAGTTACGGTCATTTCTACCTGATCTGCCCGTTCTATTAGGTTAATACATAAACAAGTTACTAAAACCCTGTCACTCACTCCTCGTATGAACCCATTACATTTTGTCCAGGACACTCCACTGTGTTTATCACACTGTCAGATCACTGCTACAGTAATGTGATAAGGCTGACCTTTGCTGAAGGCTGCAGGCAGATGAATCCCCCCCCCCCCCCAACAGACGACCTGAGCAGCAGGTGGTCATTGTTCTTTCTGCTGCCACTGAGCAAATTACCACTGGAAAAACAAGGCATATACCATTTCATTGGCTGTGAGTTTCCACGGCAACCTTGGCCTTATGTGAGCATGGGACATGAGGAGAGATAACAGGATGGACAGGGAAGCATCGCCTAGCAACATGCTAATGCCCTCACCCTGACGGTTCTGCCCCCGAGTGACATGTGACGTACGCATGAGTCACCTAATGGTGGACAGGCAGATGAATCCCCCCCCCCCCCCATGGATGGATAGATGGATGGATGGATGGTTGGTTGGATGGATGGACGGATGGATGGACGGATGGAAGGATGGATGGAGGGATGGATGGATGGATGGATGGGTGGATGGATGGATGGATAGAGCAGAGGAAAGTGTGAAAAGTAAGAAATGGTGGGAAGGAAGGACCAAAATATTGGAATGAGGTAGGAAATAAATAAACAAGGGGAAAAGGAAAGAATGGAGACAGGAAGAGAAGAAGGAAGAAAGGAAAAGATGAAGTAAGAAGGAAAGAAAGAAAAAAGAAAGAAAGAAGAGAATTGGGGAAATGAAAGCAGAGGTGGAGCAAATCATCTTATCAAGGAGACATGATGAGAGGAGATAAAAATGAAAAATAAAGAAACTAGAGGAAGGAGACAGGAGTGGAGGAGTGAGAGAGTGGTTACATGGAAAGATGTAACAAATGAATCTGCAACTGAAAGTAGGAGGAAAGACGTAAAAAGAGGGAAGGAAGAAAGAGATGTGTACTGATGATGATAATAATTAGTGTTGATCATGTCCAGCAGATGTGACGGTTGTAGTGACTGAGTGTCTTCGACCTTCACCGTCAGGTTCTTAGTAAACCCAGCAGGTGGTGATGATGATGATGATGATGATGATGATGATGAAGCTCGGCCTTTGGTTGAATTTTAAATGTAATGAGCTCATGCTGAATAATATGTTTTTCAACATCCACTCTACAATGCATATATTATGATAACTAAGGCCAGAGACGGGGCCGACGCCCGACACTCTGAGGTTTGTTCCTTTTCTGATGTTAATGTGGCTCTGAGTCACACAGGGTCAGCGGTCGACCAGTAAACACCGCTGAGGTTTGACCAGACTGAAATGAGATCTCTGACCAGTGCCCCCCCCTCCTCCTCCACTCCCACTCCCACAGAGAACCTGGACGCTGTGATCGCCATACAGACCAAGAACAAGCTGGGAAAGTCTCTGGACCCCGACCTCCCCGGACCCCACGGTAAAATGGTTCCTCACTTCCTGTCTGTACAGTTCAGACAAAGTTCAGAAAGAGAAAATAAAAATGCAGTTGTGACATCATCACTTGACCTCTGTTTGCTGCGTACCACCTGTCATGTTGTTCCCCCGCCCCACACCTTGAGAAACCCATATGACACTGATTTTGATGACAGGCCGTGGTCTTAAATCAGAAACAAACAACGTCTGACAATTAGCAAAGCTCTGTTAGCTACGGTACAAGTCACATGACTGCCTCCTACTGGCTCTTTTATCAATATTAAATAATTCATGCATCACAGCGCACACACACACACACACACACACTTTGAGGACTATGTTAAATTACATTTTTTTTTTACCAGGAAGTTGGCATTGCTAACTGACCAGAATGTTGTTGTTTTATTTTGTAGGGAANNNNACAACACAAAAGCAGAGGCGGCTAAGATGCAGAAGGAATTCGACATTGTGAAAGATTCAACCAAAGAGGAGCAGCCGACAGCTGACACCAGTGAGTCCACGACACAGTCCTCGACAGAAAAAGACGATCATATAAAAACAAACAGGAACAAAAAGGTACCCTACCCAAATGCTGGGTCGTGGTCCCATCAACCTCCAGACGCTGGTTGACTTGGGGCTGGAGGCTAGGAGACCAGGAGGTGGATGCGCAC